CTCCTCAGAGGTGAAAACCATATGGTAGTAGGGGACTTTAATGCGCACCACGATCTTTGGCACTCAAGCCTGTCAAACGATCGTAGTCATCTCGATCGATAAACCAACCGAATTTGCGTCCGCGGAACACCGGACCTATATCAACTTTTCGAAAGCTGATTGGAAAGGCTTCGCGGAATTTACTGAGAGCACCTTCGCTGCGCTTCTCACACCAACCGACGTCCACCACTGCTACTGCAGCTCGCTTCGTACCGGCAGGATGTATCACAGACCCTCGTCCAAACTTTCCTGTTGAAGCGGCTGTCCTAGCCGATGAGCGTGACAATTTTCGTCAGGATCCCGGAAATCCCCGAATCAGGGATCTCAATGCAGAGATTCGGCAGCTTGTGAACGTACATAAGCGGAAAAAGTGGGAAGAGCATCTGAAGACTTGCAACTTCGCTTCTGGTGTGAGTAAGCTTTGGTCAACGACGACAGGGTCGAAATTTCTTTCGGCGGCCATGCTTCGTCGGATCCGGAGCGATGCGCGAGCTATTTTAGCCGGCAGTTCATACTGCATCCTTCGGCGGACAAAGCCAAGCGTCGAGTGACCAGACGGCTGCACAAAATGCTAAAAACTTGTGCCTCCCTTGCTTTCACTAGCGGTGAAGTTCAGGTGACCATCGGGAAGAGGAAAACTTCCAAAGCCATGGATCCCGACGGAATATGCATGCTTATGCTGAAAAGTTTGGGTCCTGCGGGAGTAGCGTACCTAACGGAGGTCCTGAATTCAATATGTCAATGGCCACTCTCATCATCCCAGACATCTGGAAGGTGGGAAGAGTGGTCCCACTGCTCAAACCAGGGAAACCAGTCAACAAAGGAGAATCTTATCGGCCGATAACACTCCTTTCCCCGTTAGCGAAGACACCAGAGGCCTTGCTGCTCCCGTATTTCACAAACCACCTGACCCCAGCGAAGCATCAACATGGTTTCCGTAAAGTGCACAGTACAACAACAGCACTTAACGCCATAAAAGCTCAGATAACACGTAGCCTTAACCGCAACCGTCCCTGTGAGAGAACTATTCTAGTAGCGTTGGACCTGTCGAAGGTGTCGGCGAATTACCTGAGTGGTCGACACTCGTCGGTAACGTTTAGAGACAAAACGAGCAAACTTAGAAAAATAAAACAGGGGATTCCTCAGGGTGGTGTCCTTTACCCGCTACTATTTAACTTTTACATTTCAAAGCTCCCTCAACCACCAGAGGGAGTCTCGATTGTCTCTTAAGCCGAGGATTGCTCGATGATGGTGGCTGGGAATGGAATTGATGACTTGTGTTCGAAAGTAAACGGGTATCTCTGCGAGCTTTCTCGCTTCTTCACTGCAAGGAGCCTAACCCTCGCCCCTACAAAATCCTCTGCAACCTTGTTCACCACCTGGACGAAGGAGGTCAGGCTACCGCAGGGGATTCACGTCGATGATACACCAATTCCGACGGTGAATAACCCCGAAATACTCGGAGTAACCTTCGACAGTCTGCTCTCCTTCTCTGCGCACGCAACCGCTATCGTCAACAAAGTACAGAGCCGCAACAAGGTCCTCAAGTCGCTAGCCGGCAGTACTTGGGGCAAAGACAAAGAAACGTTACTGGCAACATAAAAATCAATAGGCCGGCCGATTTTAAATTATGCAGCAACAGTGTGGTGGCCGGGACTTGTAGAACGCAGTGGATGAAGCTGCAGACGACCCAAAACACCGCACTACGGCCAGAGACTGGATGCCACCTGCACGACAAGGCGAAATTGCACCCGGTCAAAGAGCACAAAACAATGCTCTGCAAGCAGTTTCTTGTTGGGAGCCATAGACGTGCTCACCCTAATGGCCAGCTGCTTGCAGAAGAGCCCTCGCCCAGGCACATCAGGAGGCATCTCTACGAACTGACGAATGATGTACAGAGGTTCATTAAACAACCTCTGGACCCGTCAGCTTATCGAAAGGCCCTGAACGGCATTCACAGGGAGTCAGTCTCGAGTTATGTAGACTCCAGACCTGTGAATGCCGTTCTAGGCGCACAACCACCGGACATTGACGAGACGGAGCTTCACCTGCCTCGGGAGACTAGAACCACAATAGCCCAACTTCGCTCTGGCTACTGCAGCAGGTTAAACTCATGCCTGAGCAGACTAAACGCAGATATGCCAAATGAGTGTCCGGCGTGCGGAGAGACACCCCATGACTCGAAACATCTCTTCGTATGTCCGGAAAACCCGACAACCCCAACGCTTTTGTCCCTGTGGACCGACCCTATTGAGGCTGCACGCTTCTTAGGGCTGCCATTAGTGGAGCTTGACAACGACTGGGATATCAACTGATCTGGGCGGGGTTGTTGTAGCCGCTACAACAACAAAAGGATGAAATGAAAAAAGAAAGAATACAATTTTTGTGTGAAAATTTCTGTTTTATTTTTGTTGGCAAATGAACGCCAATCGGCAAATACCATGATAAAAACATTACATTAATGTTTTTATCATAGTTAAATACATTTATATTTAAAGGGCTCGCAGTACCGCATATATAAATACATGCATATGTTATTGCCTCGTTAAGAATATGTTTTACAATATTCATACATATATGGTATTTTGATCCTTATTTGAGAAAAAAATTAAGATGTTGAGTTACATAAATTTATCAAAATTCAATTTACAAATAGTTTCGGTTTTTCGAACATACAATCGATTTATATCGGCATCGACAGTACACACAAATAAGTGTGGAAAAACGTACGATTTTCAATCTCAATTTATGAAAAAAAAATTAAGTGTTAAGATGAACTTTGAAAATAAACTTTTTTACGGCTCATAAATGACATTACATTACACCTATGCTTAATTTTTACATATAATTATGCATATAGATTTGTTTTACATGACTATGTGGGTCATACATCTAGCAGACGTTTAATCAGATACTGTCTTCTTTTTCTTTTCGTCATTACGATTGTCGTGACCACCACGACGTTTACGGTGTCCGTGACCGCCCTTACTTTTATTATGATGATTTCGTCGACTCTTCATTTGTTCAACAGCCTTGGCTAAGTAAGTCTTCTCCTCCTCTTCCGATAGTGTACGCAATTCGAGTTCGACGCCATCATTCAGTTTTAACTAAAATAGAATTTTATTCATATAATTTAAAGAGTATGATATATATTTATCTCATAATGCATTTTTAATAATACTCGTACTACCTTATTTCCCTCCAATTTCTCAAGAAACTCTCCGCCGTTGTTCTCTTCCACAAAACGAATATGTCCAATCTTATCGCCTTTACTATAATCAATGTAAGCAATTTCTAAATCCCCTGAAACTTTTTCAATTGCTTCACGCAGTAATTCACGAGTGACAGTATTGGTACCGTTTTCAAAGAACACAACAGTTCCTTTAGGCAGCTGCAACTTCTCTTCTTCAGGTTTAGCTTTTCCTTTCTTTGACTTTGATTTTGTCTCTTCTTTTTTGTCTTCCAAATACTTTTCTTGCCAGTTCCGCAGAAGCTCGCGTTCATTATAAAGAACCTGATATGTATATTAAAATATTTTTATATAAATTGGATTGTGTTCAGAAATTTCATCGATTCAAAGCATCAGTCCCTTTTATTTCTATTGATGGAAATGTCCAATATGTGCAATGACGGTTAAATGCCTAATTGGTACTTAGTTGCGTAAATGGACATTTCCATCAATTATACTTTAGAGGTTAAAGAGACTGATGCCACTGGGGGTCTGTTTTTCAGTGCACGGCCGTGGTTTAAACTCAGTTTAAACTCCCGATCCGGCTGGTTTAAACTAAGATCAGCTGTTCAATTTAAACTCAGTTTACTTAAACAAAGTTTAAACTGGCACTGAAAAACTGGCCCTGGGTCAAGCCAACCCATGGATCCTTTTTTACTTTGTACTTACTTTTTCTTTTTCAATGAATTCCTGCGCTTGCTCCTTCTTGGCAAAGGTAACAAAAACGCTACCTTTGAATTTATAAGCTTTGGTCGGTTTATCTAGGTACTTGCGCATAGTAATGTGCAGCACTTTTTCATAAGGAGAAAAGAAATCTATTAATTCTGACATAGTTGTCTCCAGTGGGAAACCTTTGGCGTACGCAGTTCGAGATTGTATTTCTTTGCGTTGTTCTTCATTATGTTCTGGAATAGGACGTTCCGGATGGCGTCGTAGTTTTTCCTTGTCTTCGCTGATTTCCAGCAATCCTTCATCTGATTTAATAAGCGCATCAATTATTACTGTAGTATCTGTGGTCAATGATGACAAACGTTTAAATGTCAATAAGACTGAAAGTGGTACCCAGCCCTCTTCGTCTTTCGAGATCTGTTCTAATAGGAACTTATCGCGGCGCAAATTAGCATCACTGAAATAATATTCAACTTGACGTATAATAGCTCGTTCGCTCTTAGAGAGTGTGGCATCGACTTCTTTTTCTCCTTCAGAGGCCTCTTTCTCGTGTTCTTCAGTTACCTTTTTCTCTGGTTCTTCGGGGACTATTTTCTCGGGTTCTTCTGAGACTTTTTTCTCCGGTTCTTCTGAGGCCTTTTTCTCTGGTTCTTCCGATGCCTTTTTCTCCGGTTCTTCCGAAACTTTTTTCTCGGGTTCTTCAGAGACACCTTTCTCGGGTTTTTCAGTAACCTCCTCCTTAGCGGCCTTCTTGATTTCCTCGGCCGACTCCTTTGGTTTTTCAGCTTCTATATCTGCCTTTTCGGAGTCACCGTTCTTCACTTCTTCAACGTGTTTATCCTCAACATCAGCCATTGTACCTTTAATAAATATTATTTGCAACCTTTAGTAAACAATTTTATAGCTAAATAGTTGATGAAATTACTTTAAATTGTTAAAAATTAAACGAAAATCTCATTAAAACACGTGTGAGCAAAAAACACGTTTCCAGACAAAACGCCGCTAAAAGAAATGACAACGAAAATGACGGCAGCTTATAGCAACAGTGTTGCAAAGTGATGCTCTAGAGCGCTACAAAATGAGAATCATGTTATGACAAATCCGAATACCAACCGATATGAAAAGGGGAATAGTTACTCGCTGGATATAGTGGAAGTAAAGTAGCTATTAGACGTGGCAAGTGCAAGTCCTTTTCAAGGGTCTGTGAAATTCAAGAATTTCCAAAAAATTATCTGAAAAATTTACTAAACCCACTAAAATGTACACAAAAGAGTCAAAAAATGCCTAATACATTAATACTTAAACACTCCATATCAGTAGAATTAATTAATTACACGCATTTTTTCATATTTTATTCAACATTTTCATAATTTTTACAAATTCGCCAAAAAACGCGTCACACTGCAACACACGACTGGTTTGACAGCACTTGCAGCAAAAATTTAAACTCCTAGTGCAGCAAATTGAAATTATTTCTCGAAAGCGTTTTGCGTAATCCCAGTTGCACCTT